CACACACACACAACACGACGACACACACACACACACACACACACACACACACACACACACACACACACACACACACACACACGCGCGCGCGCGCGCGCGCATCTGAGTGGTGCGCTGGCATGAGTTGTAAACACACACCTGCTTCGTAGTAGTCCATGACAATGCAGACGAACATGGTGGCCTCTTCACGGTCCCAGTTCACAAACAGCTCACGATAGCCGCAGATGTACTCGTGGGAGAGCGTCTCCAACGCAAGGGCCTGATGAGAAACGCGCAGTCAGTGAGGACACGCCAGTATGTGCACATGCCCCAGCAACCAAATACACAAACCAAATACATACCCACACACATACCCACACAGACAAAAACAAAACAACATACGCATACCCACACACATACTCACACACACACACAAACAAACAACACACATACCCACACAGACACAAACAAACAACACACACATACCCACACAGACACAAACAAAACAACACACATGTGCACACGCGCGCGCACACAACATGAATGCCCACCTCTTTGAAGGCCTTCTCAGCTTCAGCCTCATCGTTGCATTCGACCTTCTTCATGACAAACTTGCCAGCACCACGCTTGTCTTCGACAAGGAACACAGATCCCTGCGCACCCTTACCGAGTCGCTTGATGACCTGAAGTTCCCGATCGAAAGCGTTGGGAGAGATGAAAGCAACATGTTAAGAGAAGATGGGAAGGGAAGTGGGAAGTCAGGTGAGAGGAAAGCGACGAAAGAAGACGAGTGAGAGAAGGTCACAATCAAGGTTCGAGGCCAATGTGTACCACAGAGCGTGGTAGAGGTCAAGGATCAGGTTCCAACCACATGATCGACATCCAAACAAAAACCCACAAATCGACCGCAACCAACCACACATCTAGCCTACAACCAGACACCCACGACCTGTCAAAGACAACCAACCCTCTCTCTTCCCCAAGCAAATGCCACCCATTAGCCTCCATCAGGAGGCAACCCACATCGTAATTCTCCATAGTTGTTGTTGGAGGCGGCGGTCGGCTGCGACGCGACGCAATGCGAGGGCGATCGGAAAGAACAACCACAAACGAGCGAATCGAGCAGGCTCAGCCAACACGAGTCTCAGCACGTTGGTCCAGCCTCGTTGTTGTTTGTTGCTAGTTGAGGCGTGGGGGGGGATGGACGAAGCGAAATGAACCACGGCAGCGAGGCTGCGATGACGACAGCACGGGCGATGCCAGTCCAGCAGCACGAGCGAGTCAGCGAACAAGCGAGCGAGTGTGCGTGCGTGCGAGGTGGAGGAGGGTTGGAAGTCTTGGCGGTGTTTGGTTCGTTTGTTGGTGCCGGGTTTTGTTGGTTGGCGGATGTATTTTTTTTTTGGTGTGTGTGTACGCGAAGGGAGGAGTTGCATTCGCGGAAGCGAACGCAAGCCACTGACGAGCGAACCGAAAAGTGACGGGCATCTTCAACAACAAAACAGGTAAGTGAGCAACCTGCAGTTTCGGTTTGCAGATTGCACTTCGCCGAAGTGTATGTTGCAAATTGCACTTGACAACACTTGGCAAGCAGCAAACGACGACAACAACGAAGACAGACAACAACCAGCGAAGATGGTGTTGGAACAGACGCTGGCGATAATCAAGCCAGATGCAGTGCACAGATCATACGAGATTCTTGATGACATTGTCGCACGCGGCTTTACCATCCTCAGAGTGAGTATGGTCTTATGTATGGTTCTGTGTGCGTGTTGTGTGTACGTTTGTGTGTGAGTGAGAGTGTTTGTGTGAGTGTGTGAGAGTGTTTGTGCCTGTTGTGTGTACGTTTGTGTGTGAATGTGTGTGAGAGTGTTTGTGCGTGTTGTGTGTACGTTTGTGTGTGAATGTGTAAGCCCGCTTTTGTGTGTGTGTGTATGTGTAAGTGAGTGCATGCTTTCATACACATCCATACTCCCTCACTTGCATGCTTTTTGCGTCTTCATTTTGACCTCATTGCATTCAATTCGCTGTGTTGTTGTATTCAGAAACGACGAGTACGCATCTCGCCAGAGCAAGCAAACGAGTTTTATGCAGAGCACTACGGCAAGGAGTTCTTCCCACGCCTCATCGGCTTCATGAGCAGGTACGCAATTGCAAGAGAGTTTGCCTTGCGCCACTACTGTAAAACCACGCGCTCCCGGCCCGCTCGACACACACACACACACACGCCCGCTCGACACACACACACACACGTGAACTTCGACAATCCTTTCTTACAGCCACAATCATTTTGTGTGTACACAGTGGACCGATCATGGTGCTTGTGCTGGCAAAGGCAGACGCCATCACCAGCTGGAGGGAAGCCCTCGGCCCCACAAGCTCAGAGAAGGCGCGCGACACAGCCCCTGCCAGGTCAATGCGTGCATGTGTGTGTGCGCGTGTGGGTGTGTGAACATGTGTTTATGTGCGCGCGCCTGCGCATGCATGTGACTTGTCAATTTGAGTGTAGTTTCACGCGTGCACGCGATCCTGTGCTCTGAACCAATCACGCGCCAATCACGCTCACATCTCCACATATTCGCATCTTGCAGCCTTCGAGCAAAGTATGGCACAGACAACACACGCAACGCCCTGCACGGCAGCGATTCCCTTGTATCCGCAATGCGGGAGATCAAGTTTTTCTTCCCAGAGAGTGAGTGGACTCACATCATGGCATGCGTGCGCGCGCGCGCGCGTGTGTGTGTGTGTGTGTGTGTGTGCGTGTGCGTGTATGTGTGTGTGTGTGTGTGTGTATGTGTGCGTGTGTGTGTGTGTGTGCATGTGACCCGATGTCCTGGTGTTGGACATGGTCATGTTTCCACACGCGCGTGTACCGTATTGGCCATTGCGGCAACTCGCACAATCGACAATCGCCGCGTGCCATCATCTCTCCGAATCGTCTCACGCGTCGTGTGTATTGATTTGCGCGCGTGTGTGTGTGCGTGTGCGTGTGCGTGTGCGTGTGCGTGTGCGTGTGCGTGAGTGTGCACAGCTCCCGTTGCGTCGTCGTCAGATGCAGGGGAGGCGCGGGAGTATCTTGAGAAGCAGGTCAACCCCACCCTCATTCGCGGCCTCACAGCCCTCTGCAAGGTACACACACACACACACACACACACACACACACACACACACACACACACACACACACACACACACACACACACACACACACAC